ATTCAGGTAAGCACTACAATTTGTAAACTTGTTGAAAAATACACAGACAATTTTAAATGCACACAAGAAAACAGCAACTACAAGTCCAGAGAATTAAAATTAAAATTTCATAAAGAGATAATATAAGAGCAATGTATCATTAAACCAATTCAAGACAAAACCAAAGGAAACTCATGGGCACCAAGTGGATTCAAACTCGTACAGACCTTATAAGACAGGGTAGGACTGCACCTGTGACTTTCTCAGAGGGTAACTCTTTTTTTTTTTTAAACTTTTATTATTTTAAGCTTAATTTATTCCATGAGTTTTTGCTTCTTTAGTTTCTTCGGGGAAATCTTTTTCTTCTGGGCAACCTCCGCTTCTGGTTTGGGATCGATGTGTTCCTTCTCAGTCAGGATCACGTCAGCGTGGCAGGGGGAGCTCAGGGATGGGTTGAACCCACCATGAGCTCTGTGAGTTCGGCGGCGCATCTTGGGGGCTTGATTCACCCGGATGTGCTCAATGACCAGAGAATCCACATCTAAGCCCTTCAGTTCAGCATGACTTTCTGCATTTTTAAGCATGTGAAGCAAAAATTCAGCGCTCTTTTGGGGCCACTGACCCTGGGTCCAACCCCACTGTTTGGCCGGGGCACACCAACCAGTGCCACCATTGCGATGTCAGAAGGGCGCACACTGCTTCTGCAGAGGGACGACTTTCAAGTGTTTGCTGGCTTTCTGGATGTGCATGCCTTTGATGGCCTGGGCAGTTTCACGGGTGTTCTTGAAGTGGACCCAGAGGTTTGACCTTCTTGATTTGCAGGATTTTGAAGGGTTTTCTGGGTCAAGTGAGTAGCGAACCATTTTGGCAGGTCACCTCAGGCCGCTACAGTTAGAGGAAGAGCGGTGGGTTCTGGGAGAATTCATGGTAACTCGACTTCTCGCTAGATGGTAACTCTTTATGGGAGTAAAAAGCCTCATCTTTCTCCCCAATTCAAGACAGAATTAGCTAAATATTTGTAAACATTTTAGAAGGACAATCAGAAAATCAAAATTTAAAAAGTCAAAAATTTATGTGGAACATCAGCCAGAAGAATTGCTTAATTTTTATTGGAATTCCTCAAAATGAAGAGGTAAAAATCACTAATTAACTAATTAAGAAGTAAAAGGTGAATATTTGTTGGCAGAAAACACCCCTCATATAAAATTAAAATGTGAGAAGGTAGACTCTCAATTAGCTCAATGAGCTCCAAATAGGATAGAACCCCTAAATAAAAATCTCCACGACCTGTCACTAAACTTTCCAAAACCAAAGAGAGAAAATGGGGAAATTAAATATTAGGCAGAAAGGTGAATCGGTAAGATCAAGCTCTAATTTCTTGGCAGAAGTCATGCAGGCAAGAAGGCAATGGGATGATACATACAAAACTATATAGCAAAATGTATAAGAAAGTAGTTACCAAATTAGTCCACAAATAAGAAATCAAAATTAAGTCATTCCCAGACAAACATAAAATAAGGAAATATTTTAAATGACAAAAGTCTTTAAAGATAGGTTAAAAGACTTCTTTAGACAAGAATTAACAATGTCAGATGAAAATATGTCTACAAGACACATGACAACATGTTTCCAAGCTCAAACTCAGTAAAGGATTCTGAAGACAAGAAGATCCCACAAGACTGAAACTAGGGAACCACAGATGCCAATCTGCAAAGGCCAAACCAGAGAGAGAATATAAACGGTGTAGTTACAGAATTTCTAAATAGAGAGGAAATCAAGACGAGATACAGAACAGACTGCTTTAAAAACAGGAAGAAAATAATAAATTATAAGGTGACCACAAAGAAATGGAATAAAACTTCTCACCAAATTAAAAATGAAGAAATTCATAAGGACGCAGTAAGCACACAAACAAGATCAATGAAAGAAATGAAAACAAACTCATAAATGGATTCAAATAAACTCAGAAAAAATATGAAACAAAGAAATCGTTGCTACACTGTAGCCTGACTGGCTCATCTCTTCCCAACAGTCCTTCTGCAAGGGGATGTCCAATTGCCCAATGGGCCTGGGTCCCCACTCTGCACCCCCCCTCATTCACAATGCTATGATTTTTTGATCTTTCATGCCTGATCCGTGATCCCTT